AATGCATACACTCAGGAAAGACCCGTCTAAATTGCATTTAATTGATAAATTCAACAACACTTACCGTTATCTTTCGTTAGGATTTTCTTAATATACTGCCGAAATTTACCCAAAGGAACTTACTTTAAATAAATCAAATGTAAACGGTAATAACTGTCCTTTCCTAGATTTAGATATTTCTGTTTTACACGGGGAACTCCACACTAAAATTTACGACAAAAGGGACGATTTGTCGTTCCCTATTGTTAATTTTCCTTTTTTTGATGGTGATGTTCCTTTGGCACCATCTTACGGTGTTTTTATTTCACAACTCATTCGCTATGCCCGTGTATGTTGTGACGTTTTAGATTTTAATGAACGTAATCTATGTATTACTGGTAAATTATTAAGTCAGGGATTTCGTTACCACAAATTACTTAAAACCTTTACTAAATTCTTCCATAGATATGAAGGTTGGTTTTGAAGTTTGGTTGTACCTGTAGAATACTTATTTCAAAGAGGATAGCATATCATCATTTTTACGGAGATGTTGTTTACCGTCCCCGGAAATTTAGAAACGATCCTAGTAAACTTATCGATCCTTTAAATAAACTTATTCTAAAAGGTTACCAATTCAACACTGTAATTATATCTTTGAATATTGTTTTTATTGGTATAAATATTGATTTTGTTATCAGTAAATTAAATATTATTGTTATATGCATATGCACTTTCATGGATCTACAATCTGTCATTACCTTACACAAAGTCTTTTTTTTTTTTCTCTGACTGTTTATGACGTCCTTATACTTTCATGGATCTACAATGTGTCGATACCTGTATATTGGCATTGCACAAGGTCATGTTTTTCTCTGACTGTTTATGACGTCTTTACACTAAATCCATTGGATGTTGGATGTGTAATGATTGATAATTTAGTCTTAGATGCATGTTGTTTTTTCTATTAGTTGTTATTGGCTTTGAACTAGCTTTCACCAACTGCAAGTACTCTCAGATCTGTACTTAGTGTCTTTTTGTTGTTGGGATGTACAAGTACCCGGCGACGTCCACTCTGTGTTTTTGTTAGATGTATTTCTATTTGTATCCATCTGACGAGTTAAGCCTTTTCCAACTGATTTTTTATAGTTCGTTCTTATGTTGTACTGTTACACCACTGTCCTAGGTTAGGGGAGGGGTATTCCGCTAACATGTTTAACCCCGCCACATTCTGTATGTATGTGCCTGTAATTCAGTGATTGTCATTCTTGGCTGTGTTACATATTTGTTTTTCGTTCATTTTTTGTACATTGATTAGGCCGTTAGTTTTCTCGTTTGAATTGTTTTACATTTGTCATTTCGGGGCCTTTTATAGCTGACTATGCGGTATGAGCTTTGCTCATTGTTGAAGTCCGTACGGTGACTGATAGTTGTTAATTTCTGTGTCATTTGGTCTCTTGTGAAGAGTTGTCTCATTGGCAATTAAGCACAATCATCTTCTATTTTATATTTGTTGAAGTTGTAATATTTCTAACCGTAGCTGTTACAGTAACTTAGTTTTTGTGAATGGTTCTAATAAAGTGAAAATATTTTTTTTTTTTTTTAAATATTATCTGTGTGTTGTTATTCTAAAGAATTTAACGATTTCTGTTTTTTAAATTTTGTAGTTATACAATTTTTGGTTACTTTTTATTTTTGCATACAGTAAAACCAACTATATATTGTCCGTCGGATGGGGATGTTAAATCCGAGGTCCCGTGTTCAGGGAGTACCACGCTCTTTGCACGTTAGAGATCTTTCTCAACAAGCTCTTTTTGAGTGGTCCATAAGTGACCGCTTGTTTGACATAATATTTCATACTGGTTGTGGCTTTGACATTATTTTCTGTGGTTTATAATTTAACTATTTGGTAATTTGGTTTTCATGGTCTAACTTTTGTGTAAATTCTGTTAGTATTCATACTTTGATGAGTTGAGCCTTTTTCAATTAATGTTTTATAGTGTGTCCTTTTATGTCGTATTGTTACACCACTGTCTCAGGTTAGGGTGAAGGATGGCGCCAGATAAAACGTTCAAACCCGCTGCATTTGTTTGCACCTGTCCTAAGTCAGGAACCTGATGTTCAGTGGTTGTCGTTTGTTGATGTGGTTCATAAATGTTTCTCGTTTTTTATATAGATTTAACCGTTGGTTTTCCTGTTTAAATGGTTTTACACTAGTCATTTTGGGGCCCTTTATAGCTTGCTGAAGTTGAAAGTCTAAATTGAAAACAACGTTCAAACCTATGATTGCGTTGGATAAAAACCGCAATTTTTATACGTGTGCATGCAAATCAAATGTCTTGATAGAGGGGTCTAAATACAGCACAAACAACATTTTCCAAAAGACCAATTAAGTGAAAAAGTGTATTTTAACAAAACGCATTTGATTAACAGGTCGAACAACAGGTGTTCTTAAACCCTGCTGACTGCCATTGGCGATTGCCAAATAAACGGATCACAAGATGTTACAAAATGGTCAAACTTTAAAAATTTAATACCAAACAGAAAACAATAAACTTGCGGTAAAGATGGTATACCGCAAGCAAAAGGTGCAAAAATTAGTACACCATATCCGGATTTCGACAATTAATGTCTTTTCAGTGATGTTAGGGATCGAAACGGTATTTGGAAGGCCATATAATTTACTTCAATTAAGGATAGACTCTAAATTTTGAAGAGTCGAAATATTATAAAACAAAAAAGAAACAACAATAATACATCTGGTAATAACCATACGTGCACTGCCAATAGATGCTTCCCGAACAGATCACTTATTGAGTTGAATTAAAATTAAATGTATATGGCCTTTATTGTATTTTGTAGGTTCAAGGAAACTACATTGTCAAAAAGTTACTAATTTTAATAACAGTGACCTCGAAATTTGACCTATTGACTCTCAAATCTATAGACATCTTCCTCGTTCTTCTATTTGCAAAAGTTTCATTCCAATCGGACAAAGGAAACCCAAGTTACTGTCCGAAGGGGAAACAGACCGACGTACGGAATAACAGATGGACTAAGCATTTATCATATATAGGATTCCTTAATTTCTTTGCAGAAAATAAAAAGAATAATACAAATTATCTATTAACTATATATTAAGTATGTTTATAAATTCTTATACAGAAATTGTTCCAACTGTTTCAGAAGAGCGTTTTTCCTGAAAGGTTTAAAACAAGAGGCTCTCAAGAGCCTGAATCGCTCACCTGTAATTTTTTGCTTAACTCTTTCATCAATGATTATTTTAGCTTTTCAATATATATTAATGAATGGCTTAAAACTTCCATTGAAATGTTCTTTGTATCTATCATATTTTCTTCAAAATCAAAGAAATACATTTTACCCCTATGTTTCATTTTAGCCATAGTGGCTATGTTTCTTGACGTACAAGAAAATAAAATACAAAATTTATACTAGATACTCTGAAACTCATTCAGCCCAAGTTTGGTCGAAATTGATTCAGCAGTTTCAAAGGAGATGATTTTTTTAAGTAAGCAAACTAAATGAACAAATTGTGAAAAATTTATTTTAAAGGGCAATAACTCCTTAATACAAACAAATTTGTAGATCTTACTTTGCTGAACATTTTTGCTGTTTACAGTTTATCTTTATCATTAACAATATTCAAGATAATAACCAAAATCTGCAAAATTTCCTTAAAATTACCAATTAAGTGGCAGCAATCCAACAATGGGTTGTTAGATTCATCTGAAAATTTCAGGGCTGACAGAGCTTGGCCTAATAAACATTTTTACCTACGTCAGATTAGCTCTAAATGCTTTGGTTTTTGAGATATAAGACAAAAATTGCATTTTACCCCTACGTTCTATTTTTAGCCATTGCGGCCATGTTTTTTTACGAAACAGAAAATAAAACACAAACTTTATTCTAGATACCCTTAAAATCATTCAGCTTAAGTTTGGTTGGAATTGATTCAATAGTTTCAGAGAAGAATACTTTTTAAAGTTAGAAAACATGATAAACAAATTGTGTAAAATTGTCCTTAAAGGGCAATAACTCTTTAAGGGGTCAATTGACAATTTTGATCATATAAAACTTAATTGTAGATCTTACCTTGCTGAACATTTTTGCTTTTCACAGTTTATCTTTATCATTAATAATATTTAAGATAATAACCAAAAACTGCAAAATTTCCTTAAAATTACCAATTTAGTGGCAGCAACCAAACAATGGGTTATCAGATTCAACTGAAAATTTCAGGGCTGATAGAACTTCATCTAATGAACACTTTAACCCTCATGTCAGATTTGCTCTAAATGCCTTGGTTTTTGAGATATAAGCCAAAAACTGCATTTTACCCCTATGTTCTATTTTAGGCCATGTTATTTGACGAAACAGTAAATAAAACACAAACTTTGTTCTAAATACCCTAAGCATCATTCAACTTAAGTTTGGTTGGAATTGGTTCCGTAGTTTCAGAGGAGAAGATTTTGAAATAGTTTACACCAGACGGACGACGACCGACGACGACGGACGACGACGGACGCCAAGTGATGACAAAAGCTCACCGGAACGGTGAGCTAAAAAGTAATTACTGATCCTAACTGTGAAAACGTCTTGGAAATTTAGAAAACCAGAACCTAAATCATTTTCCGAAGTTAATTTATGTACAGAATTGAAATACAAATATTTCCATGGAATAAATTAAACACAGATCACGTGTCCACGCTTTGATCAAAAATGTTTGACAACACTCTGTTCTACTGTTCTGTAAATCTGTATATGAAAGAAGGCAGTGCTTAATTTAAGGTTCATGTAAGAAAAACTTGTCATTACAAGAACAGTCTGGCTATTTATTCAGGAAATAAGTGTATCTATTAGTGAAAAGAGGTGGGTGTTCAAATACTGATTACTTGTACTACAGTCTATAAAAATTTATATTTGTAAAAATTACATCTTGAATTCAACATAAATATAATAAAAATGACAAATAACGAATTCTTTCAGAAGATGAATTCAATTACCTCTTTTCACATTTTCTGTAAGACGGCTGAAAGCACTGCTGGTGTCAGAGGACATTGATGTCTGACGACTTTCTACACGATTTATGGCTGAACGAATTGAACTTAGCTCTCCTTCTAAATTACTGTTGACAGTTTGCACTGAAAAAGACATTGTCATAATAAAAATAACTAACAACAACCAATAGACCACTTTCGAGTAATATCCTTCTCCGAAAAAAATTGTCAATTATGCGCGCCTTTATGACGTCATTTACCAGATAGAGGGGATCGCCTGTATCCCTGTACTGTTAAAGTTCATCAGGCGTCTTCGTGATCGTCATTATGCAGGATAAACTAGAAATAATGTTTATTCCGCAGGTACTTAATCACAATTCCCTAATGACAGAAATGCTGATTACCAATTATAAGAATGTAATCTGCCGAATAATTCGTGCAATATAGCACCATATTTTTTCAATCGCTCGCTCGACATGGGAAGGAATTGGCGATGCCCCTAAACGCACGAATGATGTCCACTAAAACCAAAGTTTTTTTCGAAAATGCAACGAACTCGAAAGTGGTCTATTGATTCTTTAGAAAACTCATTAGTTTGAAAATATGCATAATGTCAAAACTTAAAAAAAAGATTGTTATAGGTTGTACGATTATTTTTCAATCTTTTGCATGATGTACAGCTATAACAGTCAAGGTTTCAAGAGTGACAGAATTAATAAGATAGTGCAACTATTTATACATAAGTTGTATACACATTTTTTTTCTTGAATAACTATCAGACAGAATTAGAAAGTCAAACGTGTAATAATCTGGTGTCATACGATTATTTTTCTTGATAAAACAATTGGATAAATCGGCATTGCTTAACAAATGTATACCATATGGCAAAATCAAAGGTACTTTATTTAAATCATTTGCACCACGTGACTTTGTCCCTTTTGATCAAATTACTTCCCTTAGCTTAAGATCGAAAATATAATTTATTATAGATTTGCGGATAATCCAGTCGTCCTTTTCCGTCATGTATCTAAAACTAATGTATCTTTAAAAACTTCCTTTGGCGGATATTTACAAAAATGCTGTGTAATTCTAAGGGAAAATGCTTAAAATTTGACTTTTTACGAAATGGGAAGGTTGAAATCATCATGTTTTTAAAAGAATTTGGCCGAAAACTTAAGAAAGCAGATAAGTTAAAAGTTATTTAACTTTAAAATTCAACCTACAAGTTGTTTCCCTATATGCGAACAAATCATGAACAATATCTTCTTGCATGTGTATTTCTGTTTTGAATCTTGCTATTTTACGATTTTACGTCATTTTATTTGATCTTATATAGCAATTACACAATGGTTACGCTTCCGATTTTTAAACTAAAAAGGCCGAAAGATTTCAGAGTAGACAATGTCCATTTGTACACGGACAGAAGCCTTAAAACATGAACAATTCACCTATATGCGAACAAATTGTTCATTCGACATAGGTATTTGCATATTGGCATTTTTATTAAAAGGGCTTATATAATCCTATTGTAATGGCTGCCGTCATGATAAGGCAAAATGGCCGCTATGCAAATTAGCAAATTACCCCAAATTTTGCCATATGACATTATCTATAGTATTGATTCGAATGTAATATTTTTCATATAGTTTGGTCCAATAAAATAATGAATGTGAAAAATATGCAGATCTTTTCTTCAAGTACTGGAATATAATTTAAATGAAATCAACAAACTGGTTAGTAAGTGTCTGTTGATTATTCAATTATAACAACATACCCCATCCCGCCCTCACCCATTCAAACAAAACAAAAACAAAAAAACGACAAAATCAAATCCTAAAACAAACAAACAAACAAAAAAATACAAAAGAAAACATTGTGTTTTTTTACCTTTACGGTAATTTAGTTTTGATGGCAGTTTTTATTCGCAAGCTGTGATACTAGTATATAATCACCATTGTAAGAATCGGGAACTTAATTTTCTACCATAGTCCTAAGCAAATGAGATTATTAACTTTTGTTTCATAATCTAATTATGACGCCTTCGGGGATAATATTCCAGTTTATCAATCAAAAATTTGTTTTTTAGATTAAACGAATTTACATCGTAATGAAGCAGAAATTATGGATGGATCTTGTTTAGAAGATTACTACTGCATGGAGCGAGGTAGTAAAACCGTTATAGATCAATACATGCACATCTAGTGTATTTAATCAAAATGTATTAAACGCTGTGTTTTTTTCGTAATGTCTACAATTACTACTTACACACAAGAATATATTATACCAGAGTGACAAACTAAGAAAGGGGTACTTTTAATTGAAGACTAGAGAAAATATTATTTGCAAAGTTAATAAACCTTTTCCCAGTCGTAGTTTTTTCTTTAGGTGCCATTCCTGACAACATGAATGGAAAGTTGCGTTTTTATCAAATTATCTGCATTAAACAGTTTTATGTATAGTAAGATGAAACTGCATACTTCTGAATATACAAAACAGGTCGGAATATGTACTTCTGGAAAGTTGTACATGATACCTTAAATCTGTTTTTGTACTCTTTGTTGTTGTTGCATACATATGAAACACAGCCAGCAATTCACATTCATTTACAAAATTTTCGAAGACTATCTATGATTAACGACCGTAAATGGAATAACGATCGTCAGTATATAATGGACCCCGTAAATGTATTTACAATAACCCGTAAATGCATTTACAATAATTCGTAAATGCATTTACGCCGGATTTTTAGTAGCTAATAAACTCATCGACACCAGACTTGTAGCTCAGTCGCATGTATCCAATGAAAATGCGTTCACGTAAAGGATGATTAAATTGTCCAATCATACCAATCGAAACAAACAAAGACAAACTTTTACCCGCAATTTACAACTAAAAACAATATTTCAGTTGCTGATTTTGAATAATTAAAACTTATAACGGTTTCGTTATAAAACTCTATATACAGTCGTCAATGATGCACACACACACACACACAAAAGACACAGCCATTTGGACACATGACACAATAGATCGTCAAAAGTAGTTTTAAAATCTGAAAGAATTATTTGAAGGAATGTCACCTGGACAGGCATCAGCAACTTATTTTTCATCTGATGTATTTGTTCTAAAGACAGTTTTATAATTTAATCGAAGAGATTGATGGAGGTCTATCGTATACAAGTTAAACGTAGGACCACACTGAATATTCTTTTTAGATAATTTGTCTGGACATTTGTGCGAAATTCTTTAGACAAGGAGAGATCATGCATTTCGTTATACCATTTAACTCTTGAAACAATGGCGATTCTTTTTTTTTTCATTTTAATTGTTAAAGTTTGTCCTAGTTTTTGTATAAAACAATATATAGCCTAAAAGAATTAGATAAAGCTATCAATATTTAAAATTGACTTTAAAAAAAATAATTTCGCAATAATTAAAACGTAGCAACATTTTCTAAATTGACAGTATATCAAATATTGAAATTGAAACCATAAGATACATGTATGTTTTGATAGAACACCATGCTCAACTTGCGCTATCACATTACCATGTTTAGTGGACTGCAAAATCAGGATTCAAACCCTAATGTGTCATATATATTATACAGTTCACTTCATAGTGAACATGTGTACTTAGTTTCAAATTGATGTGACAACAAACTACCCTCAACCTTAACCTTAAACATATACTGGACAGACATACGCACAGACTGAAAACATAATGATCCTCTACTATCATAGGTGGGGCATGCCATGTGTAGAAATATGATTAAATGCTGGTTCTTTTTTAGCTGGACTCCTGTTCAGTTAATTGTTCTGCATGATAGCTTTGAATGTTATTGTCATGTTCTCCATAGTATAACATATGGGATCCCTTGTTCAAACCATGAAAAAGTCTAATGAAACTACAGAAGCAGAACAGGGCGTTTGTAAAATGCATTAATTGAGTTTCATTCTACCAATTTAAGTATTTCATAAATTCATCGACAGCTTTCTTCAAACGATTCAAACATTCCAAACAAATTTAAGTTCCAAAACTCTCGAACAGCCAACCAAAAATTCTTCAAAATCAATTGGGAGCTTTCTTCCATCCATTCAAATATTCCATATAACTTACAAGAAATTCAATAATCAAGCATTCATTACTTATTATATGAAGTGTGGAGGGACAGACAGACATGACAGACCACAGTATACCATCATACACAACAATGTCAGAAGACAAACCTGACAAAATAGAAGACATTATGTTCCTATTTAATTTTCAAACATATCCGCTCCGTCGTTTTTTGTTGTTTTTTTTTTTTGGCGTGTGTTTATTTCTTTGCCACCCCACCTCAAGGGATTTTTCTCTTTTTCTCTTACTCTTGCACGATATTTGCAGTCAATCTGTCCAAATATAATCTATAACAAATGACAAAATTCAGTGTACATACAGTGTATGAACGTCACTCGAGCATGGGATTTATGTCAAGTTTCTCAGAGAGAATCACTGTTTACTTAATTAATTTAAAAGAGTACATATCGTTTATGTTAATAAACGTTTACAAACAACTATAGTATAACTAGGCTAATAATTTTGAACGCCAGACGCGCATTTTGTCTACATAAGACTCATCAGTGCCTGCTCGAACTAATAAAACAATTATTAATCCCATTAGTCGTCTTTATTTTCTTTTAACTTGCTCAGTGTGGTTATCTCTGCATGAAGAAAGTCTCTTTAGGGTCAAAATACTGTATATTTATTGATTATTTGATGATCCATTGAATTAGTTCGGGTTCGTGTTCTGGAATTAAATCAGCACAATCTAGTCAATTTCAAATCTCGCTAGAGCTTGTGTTGTGTAGTTATGTTTATAATAGACCCTTATTTAAGCCTTTTTGTATTTGTATTTGTAAAACTCCGTCAAAAACTCAAGTTAGAAGGCACAATAATAATAGTTCCGCTGACAATTTGATTTATCGTCGTTTTCATTGCTTGGTGTGACTGTGTCCTCTATGTATCTCCAATATGCCTTGCGTATTTGTTTCTGTGCTTCACGTTTTAGTTCTTTGTATTTTAAGCTGTTAGTCACGAATGGTTCTAACAGGGCAAAAAGCTTATTATTGCTGGTATATAATATATGAATTTGAGTTTTCTTTAAGCTTCATGATTAAACTATGTCAAAAGACACTGTCATTACAGTCTTAAAGTAAAAAAAACATGATGAAGAAAAAACTCCACGATTCAATCAAACCGTCAAATGTAAATAGTTTCAAATAAGATATACCATACGATTTATTTATTTCTTATTAGAAATTGGCATGGAGTTTTTTGTAATAGTAATTAAGTACTATTGCATTGTCATTACCGATTGTCAAGACGCTTATAGGATTGTCATTCACTTTACTCTGGTTACTTTATTGAAATCTGCTTCTTTTAGGTACCTCTGGACACTATATTGAAATATTTACCCTTGTCACTTAAATGAAATGTGCTACCTTTCAAATTGGGTTACCTCTGGTCAATTTATTTCAACATTTGTTTGAAATTTTCATCCTTGGGAAACCTTTTGTCACTTAATTGAAATCTGCTACTGCTAATCGGGGTTAACTCTGGTCACTTTATTGAAATTTGGTCCCTTGAGTTGTCTCTTTTCAATTTATTGAAACATGCTCCATTGCGTTATCTCTATTAACATTTTTGAAATTGTCATCATTGGGAAACCTTTTGTCATTTTATTGATAACTGCTACTTTGGGTTACTTCCGGGTTTTTTAAATGAAATCTTTACATATGATATGGTTTCTGGGATTACCTTTTGTTACTCTTTGGAAGCCTGTTCCCTTGGGTAACATGTGGTCACTACATTAAAATATGTTCCTTTTGAGTTACCTCTGGTCACTTTTATTTAAATCTGTTATCTGCGGCTACCTCTGTTTACTCTATAGTAACAAATGTCCCTTTTTTGTATATGTTTTTTATTCATAAGCTAACATTTTTGGATTCTTAATTTCTGTTTATCAATCATCTAATATTACACAGATATTGACTTTGGATATCACTGTCTACCTTTCACAGATATTGACTTTGGTTACTCCTGGTCACCTTACACGGATCGATGTTCCCCCTGATCTTTACATTGATATTGAATTTGGTAACTCGTGGTCACTTTACAAAGATATCAACTATGATTTCTTATGGTCATCTCACACAAATATATTGACTTTGGCTACGCGTGTTCAGTTTGCACAAATATATTGACTTTGGTTACCCCTGGTCACCGTATACAGATCTGCTGCTGTTGTCTTGGTTATCTCTGTTCTTCACACAGGAATTGCTTTTGTTTCACCCTGGCAACCTGACACTTATGTTGACTTCGGATATTCATGATCACCAAACACAGATATTGACTTTGGCTTGCCCTGATAACCTTACACATATATGACTTTGTTGATCCTTGGTCACCGTACACAGATCCGTTGTTGACTTCGGTTACCCTTGCACTTCACACAGGTATTAATTTCCCTTTCCCCTTCCCCTTGCCACCTTAAACAAATATTGACTTGGTTATTCATGGTTACCTTACACAGATTTTAAATTTGGTAATGCGTGGTCAGCTTGCACAAATATACGGACTTTGACTGCCCATATCCACCCTTCACATATCTGTTGTTGACTTTGGTTACCCCTGTTACTCGCACAGATATTGACTTTTTTACCCCTGGTAACCTTGCACAGATATTGACGTTGATTACCCCTGGTCACCGTACACAAATCTGTTGTTGACTTTGGTTACCCATGTACTTCACACAGATGTTAATTTTGTTTTCTCCTTGCCACCTTGCACAGATATTGTTTACGGATACTCATAGACACCTTACATAGATATTGATTTTGGTTACTCTTGCTTACCTTACTAAGATATTGGATTCTGTTATCACTCCTTCATTTTGTCTAAGATTACATTGAATATAAGATATTTGAAATAAAAATGTATTTTCTTATTTCAGAAATCACCAGAATGACGCTGTAGCTGTACATGAGCTTTGCATACAAATACTAAAACATGAAATAATTTTCTACCAAGAACTGCAACTGTATTTTATTCTTATTGTTAACTGAAATAGATTTAAATATTTTGAAGCTGTTCTTTTCCGTTGTTTTCATACAGCCTTCTTTGTTTGCATCTTGTTAACTAGTGCCTCAGTGATATATTTATTGGCTCAACTTGATATTCAACATCTCCTGAAAATTAAATTCGGGACACAGATGTGGTCCTGTCTTGCAATGTAGCGAATGGATATAAGGCTCATTACGCTACTTTATTATATACATTTACTTAGTAGTAAATACAAGTAAATTGTATGTGTAATACAATCAATACTCGTGCTGTATCAGACATCCGTGAGGATTTCGATATCAGTCACGATTACAAATAATTAATCAAACTGCTAATTTGTATGACGTCACGTCATCGATATCAGTCACGGTTGCAAAGGCTTTATCAAAAATATTCTAATCTGGACTACGTCATGTCACGTCAAAAACATCTACTTGAAGTATATAATAAAGTGTATATTATATTCCTTTTTTCGACATAACACACCGTATGAACGTTCAACAAATATATACCCTCGAGCAGAGTTCTTGGGATGATATTGGTGTCTCGGGTTGTTGTGATGTGATATTGAAAAAGTCATATGATATTCTCTATATAATGTATAATTACGAAGCCAGATATCAGAAATCTAAATATGCAGTACCAGACCAAGAATCGAAACCCGAACAGGACGGAGGCACTCATAATACACAAAATAAAGACAAAGGATACATACAAAGCTTAAGGATACATACAAAAACCACAACAACACAAAGAACTAACGCTTGGGCAATATGAACTCCCATAAAAAAAAAACCGGGAATGATATCAGCTGCTCCGGATGAAATAAAATTAAATAATCTGTTTCCATAACTATATGTTTATAGTTTTTTTAGGTGTGTTTGGTGTGTAAACAATTATATAGGTGTTGAGAATAAGGCCACTTGTATCTTATAGTTTGTTTGTCACATATAGTGCATGCATATATCATTGTCAGCCTCGTATAACAGTTAATAATTCTTTCAAAGTGTTCAATAGAATATTGAAATCTTGATTTTCTTGAAACTTTATAACACTTAACTGACCTCATTGATATAAATTGACAAAAAGTAAACAATACCATTACAATGTCAGCAGATCTCGATTAAGGCGTCAAAAAATGATTATGAAAATGCAGGAACCCCATCTGGGAGATACTGCTAGTATATACCAAATTCCAGTTATGCTGACCTTATCACAGTGTAACCAACAGATTAAGGGTTAATAAATACAAAGAAAATGTACCTGTTGATGTGATTGGAGCCAAATTATAACCACTATTAGAGGATTTGCAACCATACAAAAAAATGTCAATTTCTATTGACGAAAGAAAGAAGAAAGATCGACATGCTTCACAGATTAAAATGTCATGTTTTACTGCTACTCTATATACCTTGAGCAAAACACGGTCTCGCCAATCTCTGGTGTATATTTTCATTTGTACCTATTAAATACATTATCATTCTGTGTATAACCATCACAAACTTTCAGAATCTGGATTCAATTTAAATCAATAAAGTCTTACCATTAGTTTACAGCAACCAAGAAATATACATGTAAGGTGACCAGGTGTAGCCATTGCCAATATCTGTATTTGTTGATCAAGGTAACATAGATCAATGTCTATGTAGGATGACCAGGGGTAACCAATGGCAACGGAAGTCAATATATGTGTAAGGTGACCAATGGTCACACGGTCAATATCTGTGTAAGGTGACTGGGGGTGACCAAAATCAATATCTGTATAAGGTGACCAAGAGTAGCCATTACCAATATATGTGTTTGGTTATCAGCGATAAATAAAGTCAATATCTGTTTTTGATTATCAGCGATAAATGAAGCCAATATCTGTGTTTGGTTATCAGCGATAAATATAGCCATATCTGTGTTGCTTTACCAGGGTAAATAAAGTCAATATCTGTGTTTCTTTATCAGGGGTAAATAAAGTCAATATCTGTGTTTGGTTATCATTGGTAAATAAAGTCAATATTTGTTGTTGGCTATCATTGGTAAATAAAGCCAATATCTGTGTTTCTTTATCAGGGGTGAATAAAGTAAATATCTGTGTGAGGTGACGAGGGATAATCAAGACTACCATCCGTGTAAGGTGACCCGAGATATTCAAATGCCGTTTCCGTTTAAGTTGACCAGGGGTAACCAAATCCAATATTTGCGTAAAGCGATTAGAGTTTTAACAAAAGTCGATATCTGTGTTAAGTGACCACGGGTCAAAGTCAATATCTGCCAGGTGGCGGACAGGGACAACAAAGGTTATTATCTATGTAAGGTGACGGGGAACCAGGGTTATTATCTGTGTTTGGCAATCAAGAGTTACCAAAGCAATTATCTGTGTAAAATAACAATTGATGATCAAGTTTCTTAAATATGAAACCAATATAATGACGAAATGGAAATTTGGAAATCATTTTGTGTTCCAAATTATTCCCCAACTAACCTAAAATGAGAGATCATTAGGGAAGATAACTAGCTCCAGTTTGCATACTACCCTTAAGTAAGAGAGTCATGTTGATTTATTTGATCTGGAAGCGACAAACACACACACAAGTCTCCTCATTTAGTATTATAGATATTCGCAATTTTAAGGGGCTTCCTGATCGTTTCGTGTTTATTTTCTATATAAAAATGGGAAGTCTTAAAAATAAGTTAAATACATTAACAAATTATTGTTTGTCCTCGAACTGATTAACATCTCATTACCTGTTCGATCAAGCTTGGCTAAAATTTCCCCCATTCTTCTTTCATTCTCGTACACGTACATGGCCATCAGTACTACAACAATAGCATTAACCAATACTAATATGTAGCTCATGTCTTAAAAGTGATTTCTTCAAAAAAAATTCTAGTTGAGTTTTCCTTCCGGACAGTCGTTTGTTTTGTTAACTCGTTGTTTACTTTGGCTAGTCATGTAAGACGACGATTGTCTATTCTACATTTAAACCTAGTGTGTACGATGAAAGATAAAAGAATTTTTAACACAATACAATGTAAATGATTTAAATCGAAGATTACCCATTCATACAAAAATTTAAATAACCGTGTAATATTTATTTATATATACGTCCGTCTCACAAAACAGGTGTTAAGTAGTCGAAGTCGTGGAGATTTTGTTGTATTTTTTATAAGACGTCATCTTGGCGACATATATGGTATAATAATAATTATATTCTAATTCGTCACCTCAAACGCATATAAAGTATTTAAAAAATAAAAACAAACACTTGTTACATAGGAATAGCTCGCCAGCATGTGCAGCTTACTGTTAAATTTTATTAAAACAAAATATTGAGTCCCGATGTCATGATATCGGCAACACCGCTGCGTAGTACACGACAGCCTACAAAATAGAAAAACAAAATCAGAAATCATATATACATATAAATCTTAATAATCAAACAAACAATGTCCTACTGATAGTATAAATATCTATCTATCTATGCGTGAAAACATTTCAAATATACAAGCATCTTAATCCGGGTGGGGGGGAGAGGGGTCTTAACCTAAACTAAGCTGCCTTACTGAACGGTATACGAGCTTCGAATGACCATATATCTTAAATCACTTAAACAAGACAACTATTCGCGCTTTAAAATCCCGTGCTATTTACATAACAAATATCATACTCAATATATTTACGCAACGCGACAAATATTGACCAATCCGAAATATCATATATTTAAAACACAAACCTGTTTATCCAATATAAACACCAATAGATGACCACTATGCGGACACACAATCACGTGTGATTGTTTACATAATAGAAAACACGTGTATGCTCAACTTTAATAAATACATTTATATTCTAATTCGTCACCTCAAACGCATACAAAGTATTTATAAAATAAAAACAAACACTTGTTACATAGGAATAGCTCGCCAGCATGTGCAGCTATTTTCGACAAAACAAAGAAAGGCGCAAATGTGTGTTTTTAAAATTCCTAAATTTTTAGTTACTGTCAGACGTTCACTAATGTTCTCTTTGACATATCCGTCCTTAGCCCGGTCTGATTTCCAGCGACCATGTTTTTTGAAGATTCGATCTTCCACATGCGCGTTTGCAGCAGCAGTGGCGCCTCCGGACCTCAAACTATGCAAACCAAAATACTTTTTGTCTAATCCAATAGATGTTAAAGTAGATAACAGAATTTCTCTTGCAGTAGTATAAGAAAGCTTCCCATTTCTTAATTTACAACCATTTACAGATTTACAAAAAGATAAAGGACGAAAAATCAAATCATTACTGTCTGACTTGATGTTTGCTAAATCTAAATATTTCATCAACATTTTAACGGGACATGTAATTTTGTCCGTTTTTGAAATGAGTACATCTCTACCCTCACGGTAAATATCAGTTTTACTACTCTCTATCAGTAAAAACTATGTACGAATCATGAAAAACAATATTATTTCTTGTCAGATTTGCTAATTCTGAATACCTCAAAAATCCAGCAAAACTTATAAGGCACATACATGCTATTCTAACATCTTTAAGATTAGATCTGTCGTTACCATAAAGCATAACAATTTGATACAAAATTTCTGGTGTTATAGGTTCTTTCTTAACCACAATGTATCCAACAGATCTCAAAGATCCTTCCTTCACAGAAATAACCAAATCCGATTTACACGGATTTTCAACTCCGGCTAATCTATGAGCCCAACTTATAACATAAAAAGCTTCATTTATGCTGCTAGTAGATTTACCAATATTAGTCAAATAAACTAAATACGATGCGACAGAAATAACTGAAGCAGGTAACGTGTTTGAAATATTAATAGATAAACACCACTTACAAAAAGCGTTGAAAACATATCTATACTGTCGTTGAGTGTTGGGTGCTCTAGATGACAAACAAAAGGAAGGTATCTGGTCTACAAGGAGCTGCATGGATGGAGATTGTGACTGACGAAAAGAACTAATATCAATCCATCTTTCGGTTTTGAAAACATCTGAAAAATGTGTTACCCAATAAAGGAAAATTAAACAAGTATTCATATAAATTATTATAATAAAATGCATATGACATTAAACAATCAACCGTGCCTACTACAATATCATACTACAACATATGATACTAGGGCCATGTCGCTAAAAATCCTTCATCTTTTACATTCTCAACTGAGTAATATGTACAACGTAAAATCTCATTCACCATGCCTCTGCAATACCGAAATTGATATCAGGACCATGTGAAAAATCACAGACTAGCGTCTAGTCTAACTGCGAGAACAGTTGATAAAAATTTTTCAGTTCCAAAGATACACTTCGGACTACTTCCTTTTGAATAGATTCTATTCGTTTCTTTAAATTCTAGCACATCTTTAACATAAGCTTTGTAAGTCAAGTTTTTATTAAAAATATATGACCAGAATGGCGCAGACATCCATCGTGGGACCATCAAAGACCCTTTAGCATTACAGTAAATCAGATGTTTAATTGTGCGTATAACTGAATAAATAGGGGGGACAAGCCAATTATTTTCTCCATGCCAATTTTGTGTAAATGCATCTACAGCTTCTGCGGTCGGATTCCAGAAAAGTGAGTTAAACCTTTTTGTCTTGTTATTCATCACGCTAGCAAACCTGTCAACAGTAAAAGGTCCCCATAAACTTTCTAAAAATTCAAAAAATTCATTTGAAATTTGCCAATCCTCATGATCACTCATTTTGCTAATGTAATCTGCCTTTGAATTCAATGTGCGGGGAATCCATTGTAATTCAATGAATATATTGTGCTCTTTACAAATACAAAATATAGAATAGGCAAGATTTTGTAAATCTTCCTTCATGCTTCCAGCTTGTACTATACGTGCACAGTTTTGGTTATCAGTAAACCATTTTAAACTTTTGCCCATAAATAGAGTACTAAACGACAATAGGGCCTGTTCGATTGCTCTCATCTCTCTCCAGGTGGAGCTTTTACATCTTTCTAATTCGTTCCACATTTTGTGAAAAATCTTATTTCTAATTCTACAGTATAAGCCCCACAGGCTACATTACTAGCATCTGAAAAAATTACTATCGAAGAAGGGCTGTACATAGCCAATTTCTTTTTATTCAAAGTAAGCACATTAGATTTCCAGAACTTAAGCTCATTCAAAATCTCAGCTGGATAAACTATTTGTAATAATTTATCCCAGCTCAATCTTTGCACGATGCACAAGTAACAAAACAATAACAATCGAATTTTGTCTCCAATATTTGACCATAGATCTCAAACATTTGGTAAACAAGTAAGGGCTAGAAGCTAGACCAAAAACTAAAACTTAAAAACAGTAATACTTGTTATTCCAGGAAAAACCAAGAAACGTTTGTTGCTGAGGACAAATGTCGTAATGATGATAACCAGACTTTAAATCGAACTTAAACAGATAAGAACCTCTTTTGAAAAATTGAATAGCTGTTTTCCAGTCTTCAAATTTAAATCTCTCTTTTTTGACGGATTTATTTAAAATTGAACGATCCAATATTAACCTCTTTTTTCCGGACTTATTGGTGGCTACTGATAAAGGATTAACAATATAAGGCGTAAAGGGAATTTCATATGCACATCCAGAATCAACTAATTCTAAAACGGCTTTATCCACAAATTCTGAGTTAGAAACAGCAGATTATTGTTTTTCATGTGCATACTAGGGGGAGGCACTAAAAATGGGATTACATAACCGTTTTTGATTGTATCTAAAACAAAATCACTAGCTCCAATTTTAACCCAAAAATCGTAATGTTTTGCAGCCTGCCTTTAACACCTTTAAAGTTATGACTAGCAGAAAAATCTAATTTTTCAAGAAATTGACCTTGTGACATAAATTCGTCAAGTTCGTCGTTATTGCATTCATAGCTAGAAGATAACAAACTTATATCTAGATACTTATCATTAACAGTAACTGTATCCTTGCTGTTTGGATGGCTGGTAACTGGGTGCAGAAGCTGTGGCTGACTTGAAGTTGAGTGCTCTAGTCTCGGCCTGGCGAATCTTTTTCTCGTCCTCATCATTTTCGGCGATATCGTTACTTTCATATTCTCTAACCGTAACCCATCCCCCAGTGGAGTTATCAGCGATCCTGATGAGTTTGTTCCTTTCTTTAAGTTTACCCACCAAATCACCAGTAATAGAAGAAAGGGGGAAGCAACAGATACAAGATCATTGTGGATTTTGTTAAGACCATCCATAATGTTCTCATTAAAACGAAACTGAATCCGATTCCCTTCTGATTTGAACTTAATATTAGCCTCATCTCTGTATTTCTTGGATAAATTGTCTTGTTCTGACAGAATGTCGGACTTTAAATCAACAAGTTTCTTATCCAAATAGTCTTTAAAAAGCCCAAAAGTGTCTACTAAGTCACGGTTTTATTGATTAGCTTGTGAATTGGAAGCGTTAAGACGTTCGGGCTGACCATGTAAGGGGTCCCTTAACAAATCTTCTTCATTCAGATCGAGTACTGGTTCGGACATATCTTAACCTAAACTAAGCTGCCTTACTGAACGGTATACGAGCTTCGAATGACCATATATCTTAAATCACTTAAACAAGACAACTATTCGCGCTTTAAAATCCCGTGCTATTTACATAACAAATATCATACTCAATATATTTACGCAACGCGACAAATATTGACCAATCCGAAATATCATATATTTAAAACACAAACCTGTTTATCCAATATAAACACCAATAGATGACCACTATGCGGACACACAATCACGTGTGATTGTTTACATAATAGAAAACACGTGTATGCTCAACTTTAATAAATACATTAATAATTTTAATATCTTTATTTAGAAAGAGTTACTCATTTGGGTTACACCAATTTTCAATAAGGCTCTCTTAATTCAATATTAATTACATTAAAAATTAAGCAAAACACATTCAATAATAATGATAAATAAAGATGCAATACAATTTAAATT